ATATGTATTGTTAACAACGATTTTTAAAACATTGTTTCGTTGAATATGACAGACAAGGAAAATTAATTTATTTTTTCTGTTTGTTGAGTGCAAAAATTGCCCGTGTTGTCCCATATCTCAAATGCTTTCAGCCACTTCTTCTGCCATATATATATATATATATATATATATATATATATATATATATATATATATATATATATATATATATATATATATATATAGCCATATATATATATATAGCCATATATATATATATATATATATATATATACATATATATTAACTATATATTTATATATATATATATGTGTGTGTTTATGTCTTTGTGCGTTTATGTATATGTGTGTGTATTTCTATCGATGAATTGATTTGTTTTTTACGGATAATCTACCCTTTGCATTTTATTTGAAGCCAGAAAATATATTTCGATAGTAAGAATTTTTGAGAGATAATAATAATTTAATGATGCAAGTCGTACTAATTAACCCATAGCAGGGGGGGAGAAAAGGCGGATTCATTCCTGTGTGTAAATGAACATAACGAACTCGACTGGAATTGGATATTCGATTCTCCTAGCCGTTATCTACTACACCACTCGCACATCCAACCATAGAGTATCTGCCTATCCCAACCGGTAACCCATCTAGATATTGCCGAGAGGTATTGGCTTAAAAACCGGTGCTTCAACATGATATTATCCGACATCCTTTCCAACAACTCAGTCAGTCAGTCATGTGCCATGCGTGATACACGCTTAGGTGATCATCTATCGAAAGATACATGATTGACGAGGCTGATTTCTCTTTGCGGTAGACCAGTTGCCATCCACCCGGTTTGTCCTGCTCGGAGTGGGCAAGAAGAAGAGGATTCATACCTTTCTCAGGGGTATTAGCACGTAATTGATTCGACTGGAATTCGAACTCGCCTCTCCGGTTCCTCAATTCTAGCCGTTATCCATCCACTCTGCCTTCCAACTACTACAAATGTTATTTTATAAATTCCCCATGTTTGATTAGATGCTCCCTTTCCCCTAGTGTTAATTACATCTACCGGCCTATGTATATGTGAGATTTAATAAATAGAATGTGCTCTCCGGCTGAGTTCGAACCAACTTTCCCCTTTGTGGGAGAAATTCCAGTCTGATTCGATGTGCAGGAAATAATATCGAATAAAAAAAATGTATTGATTCTTTAGAAGTTACTTTCTTACGTTACGGATACAAAACAATGAACAGCTATGTTCGAGATATTCATTCAAGAAAATTTGAACCATAGGATGTGCAGTCTTCAATTAGTAATTGAAACTTGGATCAGACGGTGTTTATTCCCACAATGGAGGACGCAGTTTCGAATCCTGAAGGTGAACAAATTTCATTTATTAAGACAGTCGAATGTACAGCCCAGTAGACGTAATTAATATCGTAAAAAAAAGAAAAATGAATTGCTGAAAAGTTCTCAGTTCGACCAACTTCCCAATATCTAATCAATGATGTTAAATAAAGGATTTTCCTTTATTTTCAACCAAATTACCTCTCTCTCTCTCTCTATCTATCTATCTATCTATATATATATATATATATATATATATATATATATATATATATATATATATATATATATATATATATATATATATATATACGTGTATGTGTGTTTTTGGAAGAAGAGGACAAGAGGAAAATTACTTTTTGGTATAAATTTTTGTGTCTCTTTCGTGAGTTTGTTTTCGTTTATTTTTTCGTAGTTGTTGTCTTCGATGAGGTCTTTCAAATCTTGTTGGTAGATGTGTTCGTCCATATTTCGACATTTGCCTTAATAATGTCCCACAAAGGACGAAATAATAGTTTTCCTCTTGCCTTTTCATTCATATCTATCTATCTATCTATCTATCTATCTATCTATCTATATATATATATATATATATATAAAAAAGTATACATAATACCTTACACTGATTGCACAACTCGGTGTTTCATGTTAACGCAAATTGAGTTAGCATAAAATTCCGAATTGCGCTATCAAGGTAAGGTATTATGTATATTTTTTTAATATATTAAACATTATTTAACATTGAGTACTGTTTTCTCTTACACCATATATTTTTCTTATCCTATATATATATATATATATATATATATATATATATATATATAGATAGATAGATAGATAGATAGATAGATTTGAACAAAATAAACGTCAATTTTTTTCTTATACCTTTAGGTTTCTTTCGACCAACGCTTTTTCAGAAGGTATTCTCTGGCGATATACAAACACAATCAAGACAAATTAATAATCTCCAAGAATTCACAGGCTGGTTTTCGACTGTGAAGACTCTTAAGAATTCTTTACAGTCAAAAACCACCCTGTGATTTATAGTGTTTGAATATCGACAATGAATACCTTTTGAAAAAAAGTGTTGTCAGAAAGGATCCTAAAGGTATAAAAATGACGTTTATTGTTTTAAAATCTATGTTTTATTTCTGTGGGTAAGTCCTTGTTTATATATATATATATATATATATATATATATATATATATATATATATATATAAAAAAAATTCTCAGAGTTAACTTGTAGAAAAAGACAATATTTATAAATGTAAAAGAAGACAATAGGAAAACTGTATTATTAGCCAACACGTTTCGTCCAATGTGGACTTTTTGAAGGCAAAACCGAAATGAATTTATTAAAACAAAGTAACTAATAACAACAAAACAATTGTCCTTAGCAACTGGAAGAATTTAGAAAACGCTATTATATTCATATTGTCAACTGAAAATTACGTCAAGTACTGTCACGTGTGGAAATATTGTTTTTATTGTTGAGTTGATGGATTCAATCGTTTTCTTTTGATTTCTTGATACTGTTACGTACGTTTGCTTGGGAGAGTAGTAATTCTGATAGGAAAGGTGAAACAGGGAAAAAGCCTGGGTGTAGATTAATATCTGGATAATTTTCAATGGTGGCACACTCGAAGATTTTCCTTCTGAGTTAGTTATTTTCTTTTTTTATGCGTGTAGCATTTTTATTTCGTAAATTATTTTTTAATTTATTTTTTATTTCATTTCATTTTTGCATTGAAAAAGCCCACATTGGACGAAACTAAAGTAATTCATGACAAAAAAGAGGAATAACAAACATATTTATTACCTTAAATTGGTAATATCGGAATACATTGACTAAAAACAAGTAAACCGGTTTACTCATAAGAGCAAAAGTCGAGGACCAGCAATGTTACCAACGACTAAAAAATATATCTTATGCCATATGCAAACAAAAAGTATAACATTAAAGGCTCATTTTTTAAGTTAACATTTTATTCTCCTCGATTTTTGTTCTAATAACAGATGTCTGATTCTTTCATTACTTCAAAACACATTTGTTTTTTTGATACCCGTATTTGAATAGAACGCCGCGTTTTTTAAACACTGTTTATGTCGTCTGCTGGCTTCGTGTTTAACAAAACTTAATATGTGCCGGAGGACACATTCTCTTTATTAAGTTTTCTCGAATGTGCAGGCCGGTAACTAATTAAGTAGAGTTTAAAGGAAAAACGAGTCGTTCTTCTCAAATGCGAGTATCTATTAAAAGTAACTTTTAAAGTAATAAATATATATATATATATATATCGTCTAAAATTTTTTAAAGCTTATGTAGATATAGATAGAAATCAACATTGCCGTTTCACGTCTTAAATGATCATCAGACTAAAAAAAATGAAAATCAAGTAACAACCAGTTTACTGACTTATGCTCTTCCATACGTCCAATAAGCTGCAGTAACCCACAAATATGCAAAGCCTTCACAAAAAAGGGGTCTACACGGTCTGATAATCGATTAACCCTTGGCAGTTACGCACACACACACACATACCCCCCCATATATATATATATATATATATATATATATAAACTAAAGGAATGTCCAAAAGCGCTTGGAAGACGGGACAATAAGGACAATTTTTGCACTTGCTTACTCTCGCCAAACGAAAAAAAAAAAAGAAGAATGCTGTAAAAACTAAATAAAAAAATAATTTTTCCATGTCTGTCATACTCAACGAAAAAAAAGGTTCGTGCTCATTATATATTAATACACACACACACACACACACACACACACATATATACAGGGTGGCCACTGAAAGATTGAATGATACAAAACAAAAATAACTTTAATAAATACTTGAGTATCTTGGGGTAGTGAAGTTTTAAACAGTTGAAACTTGTATGGAACCATTTGAATCTTGAATCTTGTCTGGAACCATTTTTAAATCCAGTTTCGGAATCTTCTGAAACGATGTTCTGGCGATGCCTAGTTGAGAAGAGCGACAACGGTTAAAGGTTGATAGATCCTCAAAGACGCTCTGCCGTACAGCTTCCACCGGTGCGTCATTGCGCACATTGATCTTAGGACCTCTTCCCAGAAGATCATCGACTGATCCAGTTCTTTCAACCCGGGCGATTAGCTTCCGAATCATTTTATCGTTAGGAGATACTCTGACATTAAGTGGTAGCCGGTATTTTCTCTGGGTTTGAATAATTGATCTTTCATTGGAATAGAAAAACTCGACGAATTTTACTCGTTGCTGGGCATCATACGAAGTCATTTTTAATCACCAAAGGGATTCTTTATAACCTGCAATATAAAATAAAACGAACAAGTTATGAATTTTTCAAACACTTCAGTTTTTCTGTGGCTACCCTCTCTCTCTCTCTCTCTCTATATATATATATATATATATATATATATATATATATATATATATATATATATATATATATATATATATATATATATATATAGATATATATATATTCGTGCATTTGGGTGATAGCGTGTGCCTGTATTCCTATAAAAATATGAATCATGTATATGACATTTTATATCTATCTCAGTCTGTTCATATCTATCTATCTATCTATCTATCTATCTATCTATCTATCTATCTATGTTCATTATCTATCTATATATCTATCTCTTTATTTATATATTTGAGAGTGTGCATGTGTGTGCTCGACATTATCGGGATTGGCATTTGGTTTACTAACCCTTTATTGATCAGAGTTCCTGACTGGAAATTATCGGAAAGTGGTTTCCCTCAAGTGCTCCCTAGTGCCCTCAACCATCGTGGAATGCAAGACAGGATTGTTGTCAAGATATCTGATTTTAATCTTTCCAATAACCAGAGATAGAGAGAAAATAGATATATAACTAGATATCGAAAGAAATCTCAGATATATAGAGAAATAGTTTCAAGCCTTTCCCCAAATGTATGAGTGATAAGTAAATACTATCAGCTATCAAATATTCGAACAGATAAACGGGTAGGAGATTAATTAAATGATTGAAATACTTAGAAATATACGGACTGAAATATAAAAGGATGCTGAAAAGTTTGTGGCTCGACTGAGAATAGATTTGGTGAGATTTTGGGAAGAGTATGTTGCATCGAAAACTTTTCGACACCAGATACATCTACAAGTTCGCAACCGAATCATAAACGAAAATATTTCTATTACAGAACAAATATTTGTCAGCATCGTTGGTATGACGATAAACTATGTCTAGCAGCAAGGCCTCTTAATTACTGTTGTTCCAAGGTCCACCCTGATCCGAGGTGGTTGCACCTGTTAGGGCCCCAGTTATGGGCACATAGTTAACTTCCAAGCTGGGGTCAAAACACTATCAAAGTAAAAAAAAAAAAATTATAGTTAAAATGTAAGCAATATATTTTCATAGGTAAAAAAAATTACCAGAAATACATTTGTGTTGAAAAAATATCAGTAAGTAATACATTTTTTGTAAAAGAAATTATTAATGCTCCCAAGAAATTAAATTTTGGCACTAAGTGACCCATAAGGAGTTGATATGCTGCTAAACAAATAAACTACTTCTTTTTCAGTACACATAAATCAATGACAGAATGAAAATTTCACCCAACTCATTAGTTTAGAGTTAAATCACAATTCAAACACCGAGTCTTGTTCGATCTCCAAAATTAAGCAGTGCCAAGCCCGGCAAGTACTTAAATAGGGAATAGAGCGACCAGCTACAATCTTTTGGAAATATGTTTTCAGGCTAGCTCCAACACAGAGAACCAACTTTCCTAGCAGACCTAGCAATTGATTCAGTATAATATTTCCATTTCTTATTAGCGGAAAACGTGGGTACCTCGACGTGATATAATGGTTAGAAAACTTGTCTAGCTTGTCAATTACGACTGAGTAGTGAGTTCGATCCTCACTGGGTGTCCCACACTTTCTACATCTAAGCTACGCTTAAAAGAATCATAGAATAGTGAGTTCGATCCACACTGGCTGCCCCTAGCTTTCGGCCTTGTGTCATATCTCTAGCAAAGAAAAAGTACGGTTGTTTGAAGTACTCGGAATTCTTTTGAATCATAAACTTCGAATCTACCGTAAAAGTCCACACACAAAAGCACAACCATTCAACATGTCGTTCTCTTTTGCCTCTGTCCTCTCGCTCATGCTCATCAAGTGGCTAAGTTTCGGAAATGTGCATAAGCCATAAATTCGTCTCGCAAAATCTCTCAGTACCGAGATCAAGTTTTTCTTAAATTATAGATTTTGAATTGGCCATATTTTCTTTCACGTATTTTGCACACGAGACACATCTAAACGCGTTTTGTTCCATAATGTAAGCAGTTTTCCCTTCTACAAGCTGCGGTGGGAAAATAACAATGTCAGCGGAAAACGGTAGTCCGAGAATGCGCAATGAGTTACTCTCTTGAAGGTGAGTATTTTATTATTATAAAACACGTTAATTCCGTTTGCTTATAGATATTAGAAAGTTTACATATGAATAAAGACAGTATGAATAAAGAGATCTTCTTTTATCATGTGCCATGTTCTTTCAGGACGTGAGCAATCATAGATTCCCCCAACTTCCTGTTCTTTGTAGCTGTAAGTAATATTGTTTCTTCCTATATCTCCCAACCACTTTTCACCACCCATTTACACAAATTCGTTAGATAGAATATTCAATGTTCCCCTATTCTTCTAGGCCTTCAACACGTCCTGTGAGTGTCAAATTCTCTAAGCCCTCATTACTTATTATGTGTCACCAAGTTTCAATAGGCTCTTTTTATTCTAAGAATAGCAATATGATTCCTCATACATCCTTAGGAGGTGAATAGAGAAATTCTTTTTTCTTTTTAAGTCAATTTAATGACCAGGGATTCACAGGAATCTTGTCTCCAGCCCATCTTTGAGTAAACTTAATGACCATGATTTTTTTAGGAATCCTGTCTAGAGCCCACTTTTGAATTGACAAACATAAAAGTTTGTTTGTGATTTTAGATAGCTGTAAAAATAGGTTCCTTTGAAAAAACTGACCACCCAAAATCTGTCTGAGTGTCCCCCCAATCTTTCCGGTTGGTGTAACATGACTGGACAGAAATGGGTAGTGTGTCCCCCCCCCCAGCCAGTATCCATATAATGAACGGTCAGTGAAACGGCCAGCAGTAAGCAAAATGGTCAAGCAGTGAGTGTATTGGGGTCTGTTTACCGTGGTCAGAACTTCGTGAGAAATCAGATAAAAAAGTTTGCTTTCTCGAAGACATTGCCGATTAAGTGAGAAATCGTATTTTTTTGCTACTTTCCGATCAAACAAGTGTCATGAAAATCATTTGTTGTTATTCTTTATTGATGTCGATCACAGCCCTGTAGAACATAGTGAGTGCCGGTTTATTCATCTACAACTTGTGCAGTGACATGCATCACACATAAGTATAAGTGTCCGTTTTATTTCCATTTTTCTTTAAGACGACCTCATTGCTCACATGCTGAGTCCATGATATTCTCAGCACTTTGCTGTAGAAACGTATCTCTGTTGCTTCAAATCTCTTCTTCATCTGTAATGAAATTGTCTAGCATTCACTGCTGCATGGACAGATTGATATTACATAGCAATTCAGCGCACATTTCTTTGTTTCTAACGAAATGTACTTCTTTCTTTATACCTTCTTTTGCATCTTGTTGAAGGCATTCCAATGCTCCTTTGGATACCGAAGTCACATTTTCCGTCATCTGTAAAAAAAAAAAAAAAAAAAAAAAAATTCCCAGATATTTAAATTTATTTAATTCAACAAAAAGACAAAAAACATTCTTTATTTTTGTGTGTGACTTATGAAACACATATCGTATCAATGACTATGATCGAAATCGCTATACTAGTGCAAAGTTATACATAACAATCTCTGCTAAGCATTATTCTTCAGCGGGCCTCATATATCTACAAATTTTAGCTTACTCTGTTGCAAGAATTGTTTAGCAGCGGGTGAGGATTGAACAACAGTTCTACGAGACTACTCTATGTCAATATGCCTAATGATATTTTACAAATCTTAATCTGATACAAAGCAACAGACAGGAGCAAAATATGGAGTCCAGTTAGGATGTTTGAAAGTTATTCTGGAAGATGAGCTTACTTAACATCGCACTGTAATAATTATTCTGTTTATTCTGAAGAAGAGTGCAGCAGTACGTAAGTATGAAACTCATTTCACTATTAATGGAATGTCAATACTATCGTGATAACCATTGCTTCACGATGAGTTCTATTATTATTTACTAAGCTTACCTTAGTTTGATACAAGGCTAGAAATATCAAACAAACCAATAAGAATTAAAACCCCCAGAGTAGGAAAGCGGACAATCTTATGTTATTATCTTTATAAAAAGGAGTTAAATGTACTTTCAAAAATCAAGATAATTTTGTAAAAAAAATATCGTTAATTTTCAAATTGTTACTTCGACTTGTGCATTAGTTAACAAACCCAACACGCAGAATTTCCATGTTACTGTGAGCTCGATAATGAACCAGTAATAACTTTAATGGCCTTGTACCAATCTAGGCTAAACTTAGAGTGCTTAATGTAGCAAGGTCGTTTTCACTATCTACTCGACAAATATAGATTTGTGTCAGATTAACCTTATTAAACGCATATTTGTTCACTATTTTCGTTTTCTGTTATTAAAATTGGCGGGGCATAATGTTTCCTTCAGCCTTTTCCTATCTGCGCCTATATATGCAAGTGTGCATAAAATATATGTCTATTTTTTAAGGCAATTCACCCCAAGCAAGGCGGGAGTGCCACTAGCACGCAAGGGGTTACAGAGGATTGAGAACAAAAGTAAAGAGCTGTGTTTGAGGAAAGAATACAGAGAAGGACGGGGAACAAACTCAGGGTGCGTAATGTCGATTGACATTACGCTTGAATATGTGAAGCAAGTAAGGGGAAGGGAGTTCCACAGACGGGAAGTGTGAAAGAAGAAGCTGTTTGAGAAGAAGAGATGGTTATATTTAAAAAAATTGACAGAGAAAGGGTGGGGCCGAGATGCCAGCCTGGTAGTTCGTTTAAATTCATAAAATTAATAATATATTCTCCTTTATAACATGCTTTACTTTCAAAAATCTCCATAGGATAATATTAACGTTATCTACGAAATTTCTGATTTTAGGGTATCCTGTCCACTATGAGGCACATATTTTTGCATGTTGGATATGCAACTACAACCCAATCCTGAAGATTAACTTACCATTTGTCCAGTCAAAGTCTCTTCATGCTTATATTAATGAACGTAGATACCTAAGTATTCAATTTCACTCGCAAGGTTTAGATCAACCTGTGGTATTGCTTTAAAGGACTTTACAAAGATTCCTCACGCGGGGATCGCCTTCCTAGGCCGATAACATCAGGAAGTCACCATCCTGACAGGGCAACCACAGTGAGGTTTGTACCCAGGTCTCATAGCCAGAAAGCGAATGCTCTAACCACTCGGGCACGCGTTTATATCCGTTAACACGAAGTCATAAGTAAGCGTGACCGAGGATTTGGAAACAATAGCCAAATTGATATTTTGACAATCGTAGAGCACGTTTTGGACGATCACGTAAAATTCAGAACGCTGGTGGGTAACAGATAAAACTACGTGAAAGGAATATATATATATATATATATATATATATATATATA